AAGAGAAGGAAAGAAAAATGGAGAGAGAGAAGGAAGATACGGAAGAAGTGAAAAAGATGTTGAGTGAGTTGAATGTGGAGCTTTATAATATCAAGCACATCATTTCTCTTCATCTGGGAGTTTCTGATGGTAAGGATTGGAAGGTTGAAGAAGTGAGTAACGTGAGCAGAGATTCTAAAGAAACTGGGGAGGAAAGTCAAGAAATATTATTGAAGAGACAAGGCGAAGTGAAAGAGATCCTTCTTGATTCATCCAACCAGGAAATTTCAATTGACATTGAAGATATTCCTACGAATATTGAAGGACCAGAAGAAGAAGATAAGTTAAGGGATTCCATTAGTCTAAACGACTACTATGATGAAGAGTTGGAATGGTCGATAAAGTGGCGAAACGGTGCTTAAAAGCATGCTTTAGTTTCTTGTCATCCATTGTAATACAGGACAATGGCTCTTTGAAATATAACATTTCTTATATGTAAGCATTACTCATAGAGAAATACATGTAAGGAAAACACAAAATAAGAATGTTACTATTGAAAGTTTCAGATGATAAACTGTTATTGTAGAAAGTGAATAGCCCTCTTGAGATACACAGAGGGAATGAGAAAGCCCTTTAGTTGACACTGAATTTACCTTCGAGAATTTAGTCTCCCTCCCTAATTTTTTTACTAGTCCAAACTAGGAATGTGAAAAAATGGTTCTCTTTGATCTATATATATAGAACCAGAAATCTCTTTTTTCAACTTTAGCAGTTTTTTCTCCACTTTGATCTATATATGCCAGCAAACATTGTCTGCTCCTGTTAGTGCTACCAATAATCCCCACAAGAACAAGTGCCATTTCTAAAGTGGTGAAAACGGCTAGAATCTCTTAGGACAATCTCACGTCCTGCGATCTTTGCTATAAGCTTAATCGCAGAATGGCAATCCCCACATACACGAAGATTTTTCATCACTGTTATAGTACTACACTCCACAGTACTTACCAATGCAAATGCAATAGCAAGCCTTTCACTATGGTAAGACAACATCTCTTCCTTCTGTTCATTCTCAACATCATGCAGAGAAAACCTTTTGTCCGGAGTATAGCCAAATTCCTTTAACTTTCCTCCTAACCAGTCCAGCTTTTGATATATTTTTTCACTGAGAGGGTGTGACCTATCACCAGAAAGAAACTCATGCCTCACTCCCTTTAAGTTTACCCAACTGCATCCTGGTTGTTTTACGATACCCTCTTGTTTCATCTTCAGCCTGAATTGTGAGACGTCACTCCATTTACCAGCTGAAGCATAAATATTGCACAATAAAACATAAGCGGCACTGCAGTGAGGCTCTAGATCAAGAATGCATTTTGCAGCTCTTTCAGCCATTTCCAAATTGGAATGCATCCTACAAGCACTAAGTAAAGCTAGCCATATCGAAGAATTTGCTTCCATAGGCATATTCCTAATTAACTCCTCTGCTTCTTCTAATTTCCCAAATCTGCCCAAGATATCTACCATACAAACATAGTGCTGAGGCCTCATCTTGTTGGATTTATATCTACTAAAATACTCAAAAAAGGATTTCCCCTTCTGTAACATCCCAGAACGGCTGCAAGCAGAAAGCAAGCCAGTGAATGTAATTTCATCTGCATCTACCCCTGCACATATCATTTGTTTAAAGAGTGTTAAAGTCAACTGACCACATCCATGTTTTGCACTTCCAACAATCATTGAGTTCCAAGAGACAATATTCTTCTCACCAATTTTCGTAAATACAGCCACAGCATCATTTACATTTCCACATTCACAATACATGACGGTAAGAGAATTACCCACAAAGACATCATTTTCCAAACCTAGTTTTATTGCCAACATGTGGATCTCTTTACCCCGGTCAATAGCCTCTAGTTTCCAACATGAATTCAAGACACTAGTGAATGTAGTTTGATTTGGAAGTATGCCCATGATAATCATGTCAGAAAAAATCGTCAATGCTTTCTCATGCTTACCATTGAAACCACTCCCCGTCAAAAGAGCTGTCCATACCACCACATTCATATGCAATTTTTCATTAAAAATGTTGTAAGCATCCTCTATTTGCTTGCAGTTTGCATACAACATAATAAGCGAAGCACATATAAACTCATCAAAACAAAACCCAATCTTAATAACATTACCATGAACCTGCACCCCTAAACATACATCCAACACATTAGCACAAGCCGTCAAAATACAAGCAAATGTGTTTGAAGTGGGAACAATACCAGAACCCACCATCTTCTTAAAAAGAAACAAAGACTCATCATGCCTCCCATTGCTATCAAGCCCACTAATCATCGAAGTCCACGAAATCACATTCCTACAAGGAGTCTCCTCAAACAACCTTAAAGCATCCTCAACTCTACCATTACAACAATACCCATGAATCATCGAATTCGATGCCGCCACATCTCTTACAGGCATCTCATAAAACAACCTCTCAGCCTTATCAACATGTCCAAACTGTAAATACCCATTAATCATGGTTGTCCAAGAAACAACACTTCTATCACGCATTTTATCGAACATCTTTGTAGCCATAGCTAAATCGCCACAATCTAAACACCCTTTAACCATTGTGTTCCAAGAAATCATGTCTCTAAAGCTCATTTTGTCAAAAAGGGTCAATGCATCATCAAGTCTATTGTTTTGAGTGTAACCAGTGATCATTATAGTGCATAAATGAGTACTAGGTGATGGGATTTCATCAAAAAGCTTGCGAGCAAGGTCTAATCTTCGGTTTCTTATGTGATTTTGGAGTAAAAATTTGTAAGATGGAACGCTTTGATTGGTGTAATTCATTAAACCCATAACGGGTTTGGAGAAAATTTTGAAATTCTGAAATATGGCGCGACATGTTGACATGGAGATGGAGTAACTATCACTCAATGCTCAAGCCAAAAACAAATCAGAAAAGCTCTTATATATTATAATTCCAAACGGCACCGTTTCTTTGCCCATGGTGAATGCCAAAGCATATTTTGTTTCTATCGTCTTTCTACACTAAAACGCAGCGTTTTGGTTCTATAAACTGGATATTTATAACTTGTGGATGTGGGTAATGTTTAAAAAATATATAATTATAATTTCAACAAAAAATATATAAATAAATCAATTTTTTTATGTTCATGATTTGAGGATGCATGTAAAGAGTTGCAAGATAAAGGACATAACAAAAACATGCCCATATTGAATATTTAGAACAAATTATCATTGGGTGGTCGAGTGATTAACTAAAACTCTTAAATGTATTACTCAAGAAGGGTTTTGAGTTTGATTCACCTCGATTATTAATAGGGATGGTCAATAGAAACTTACTTGGTTGTTAATTTCAGGATCTCGATAAATTAGTTGAGATACGCACTAATTGACCTTCAAATTTAATATCACAAAATCATACAAAACTATTCAAAGTTCGCTTTCAGATAATGAAGTGTTTTGTTCTCTACTTCTGATTTTTTTATAAAATATAATTATAAATGTGCTTTTAATATGTTTTTTAAATGGGGAAACAACTTACACCTACCCAAGGTTTGGAGAAATGACATATTGGTACCCAAAAGGTTTCAAAAAGACAAACATGTACCTTTCGTTAGGGAAAAAACTAGAATACCCTTTGAGAAATATTAGTCTATTTTTTTAATTACTTTTAGACCCCTTAAGTTTATTAATTCCATCAAATACCCCCAGAAACAAGTTTAAAAATTAACAAAAACACCCCCACTTACCCATACTTGCCAGATTCTGACGGCCACCACCGGAAATGACCGGTAGTTTACCGATCTAGCCTTTTTCGGCCAGATCTGACGTGAGAAATCCAGATCTGGCCGGAAATTGATGGCCAAAGATGTGGCCGTCGTTGACTGTCAATGACGGCCAAACCTTGGCCATCGTTGACAGACAACGATGGCCACATCTTTGGCCGTCACTTTCCGACTAGATTTGGCCTTCTCACGTCAGATCTGGCCTTTTCCGGCCAGATCCGGGGTGGATTTGGCCCAAAAAGGCTAGATCGATGAACTACCGGCCATTTCCGGTGGTGGCATAGACCGTTGTGATAGATTCCGGCTATCACCAGCGGTGGCCGCCGGAATCTGACAAGTATGGGTGGGGGGTGTTTTTGTTAATTTTTAAACTTTTTTCTGGGGGTATTTGTGGAATTAATAAACTTAAGGGGTCTAAAAGTAATTAAAAAAATAAACTAATATTTTTCAAAGGGCATTCCAGTCTTTTCCCTAATAAAAGGTACTTGTTTGTCTTTTTGAAACCTTTTAGGTACCAATCTGTCGTTTCTCTAAACCTTGGATAGGTGTAGGTTGTTCTGCCTTTTTAAATTCATTGAAATTATAGTCAATAGTTACTACCATATCTTGTTGCAGTGTTGTACGTATAAATGCTAAATTTTATTGCTCACACAATCATATAGTAATAGTTCTACTATAAAATATAAAAAACCTAACTTTACCTTAAGGGGTTGGTCTGACCGTCAAGGTTTACTCAATTTCTTAAGTTTTTAAGTTTAAATCTTGTGACTACCTATTATAATAACATTGTAACTTACATGGTTCTTTGGACTTGTAGGGTATTCAATAGACTCCAAAAATTAATTGAAGTGCGCACAACCGAACCCAAACACCTCGGTTACCAAAAGAAAATAATAATAATAATAGTAAACTCAAATTGGCAGAGAATATCACTTTCCTCCGTATCTAGAAAACATTAATACTTGGAAAAGAGTCGAATAATTTCATATTTTGGATCCAAAAATGTAGTAAAAGAAAAGGAATATGAAATCGAAAATGTAAACCACGAATCTGGGTTTTGGTTGGCTTGCCTTGAACATGAAGAATGCTCTTTACAGCCCCACATAGATGGTAGAATCCTTTGGAACCAGCAGCCTTAGCAAGAAAAGAACCAAAACCCTCCATGCAATTGCATTTATAAACCTTCGTCTCCTTCAAGAAACACATGCAGAAATTGTACTTCCTCTAATCATTCCTGAAAGTCCCCTAATTCTTTCATCTTCTTTCAAAACAACTTTTCAGAAATGGCCAACACTCAATTGAAACCAGTTGCATCATTGCTTTTGGTTCTTAACTTCTGCATGTATGTTATAGTTTTAGGCATCGGTGGTTGGGCTATGAATCGCGCCATCGAACATGGCTTTGTCATTGGTAAGCTAAAATAAAAACTTTATGACCCCATTTGACATTTCTATCAGTCTAAGTATGCTGTACATGTGTGAAACTTGCAGGCCCAGGACTTGATCTTCCTGCACATTTCTCGCCTATCTACTTTCCGATGGGCAACGCTGCTACGGGATTTTTTGTGACATATGCTTTGATAGCTGGAGTTGTTGGTGCTGCATCAGTAATTGCTGGTGTTAACCATATTCGTAACTGGAACGCCGATAGCTTGCCATCTGCAGTCACAGCTGCTACCATTGCCTGGTCTCTTACACTCCTCGCCATGGGGTAGGCGCATTTGTTTGATTTTAAATTTATTACTTTCTTACCTACAATGAAAACTGCTTGTTGATGCATAAATATAACCAGAAAATATGCTTCTTTTTGGATACTAAACTTTTAACCTTCTAATATGAATGCAGCTTTGCTTGCAAAGAGATTGATCTCCGCATCAGAAATGCCAAGTTGGTAAGATTAACGAATCCAATTTACTGCACTTTTCTGGGTTAATAAGCAAAGACTGGCTTTTGAATGAAATACTGAGCATAGGTTATTTTTGTGTTTGCAGAGAACACTGGAGGCATTTTTAATCATCCTCACGGTTACACAACTCCTGTACATAGCAGCCATTCATACTGTTGCACCAATGAGGAGATCATAATAAATTCAAGTCCTTTGATGGAAATATCTTGTGCCTTCAATCTTTATTTTGCTAAAATTTGTTTTCCCCTGTGTACTGCCAAGGTATTGGCTGATTGTGGGTGTGGTTAGTATGTAATATGACAGAAACTGTATGAACTAATAAAGGAAAAATGATTTCATTGGCCGTGTTTATATTGTTTCTTCAAAATGACATGTTTGCTCAAACCTCAATAAAGCAACTTATTCTGTTGTCTCTTGGCTTTTCATCACTGCAAGGTTCTTTTATGCTTAAAAGTAATACAAATAAAGTAAACATTTGCCTGTAAAACACCACTTTATACTGTTGTGAAACTTTTGAATTTAAACCATATATGGATCACAAACAATAAACTATACTTAATCCCTCAACTAATAGCAGGTTTATCAAACAAGCTTAACACACTTTTTGAAGAATAACTTTGCCCTCCATAGGAAGCCTGCAATTGACAGATAGCTCAAATGATAAAAAATTACGCAGATATCAACCATCCAAAGAAGGCATATTAGTCGCAACCAATTGTAGCCTGCCAATTAAATTTCGGCCATAGACGTCTATACTCAGTAACCATTTCAAGAAATCATTTAACTATGGAAGAAAGACATAAATTTTTCTAAAGAAGCAAATATCCATCTAAAAATTCAAACAATGCCATAAACTGTTCCATCACGACAGAACTTAAGCACGCACGGTCTCATAGTAAAATCTGTAATTTGAAGGTCATAAATCCGCCCGACCCAATGGTAAAGGAAATAGATACAACACACCCCAGGAAAACGCTACACTGCAAAATTAAATTTAAAATAACTGCAGCAAAAGCTAGGGACATTGAGTGATTGTCTACCCCTGTTCATACTATCACTATGGTAATCATATAATTGTTGTCACTTAGGTCTCTTTCCCTATTATCTTCAGAAAAACCTTGAAAAGATTCTCATTTGAAATATCACCAACTCTATAAACCAAATCCTTCCATCTTTCACATGCTTCGGTCCATTGAAAACCCATCATGCTCTGTCCCTGCATCATACACACCATAAGGATGTAAGATATTATTCAATGAGATAGTAGATTTGATGAAAACTTCAACCAATACTTTAAAATTTTCACATGAGCAACAGAGTAGAAAGTTTATGTTTCAAATAAACAACCACATTTCGGCAAAGAAACCCAAATAACAGAAACAGGTCAGAAAACAACAGAAACTTTTCAGCTTCCAGAGATAATTCTATTTTCAGGATTCTGGGAACTTAACGTACTGCACAATTAGCATCACCTTAACATTGAGAATGAAAACCTACAAAAAGATTCTAGGGTGGTAAGCAACCAAGGTGCAAGAGACCTGAAAGATAAAATTATCCAATACTCTGATAAAGAAACCAGAAATGGATAACTCCTCTAGTGAAAAAGTCTTGGCACAATTAAGATCTAGAACAGGAAGTATGCTCGTCAACCACATCTTCATTCAAATAGTTTCCACCAACTAGCACTCACATGGGAGGTAAAAAATTTCTTAAATACAGACAAGACCAACTTGAACAAAATAATCATATAAGGCAGCCTCATTTAAAAATATTCATCTAGCCAAATCTACTTTCCAAAAATCCAAATTATCAACTCGGTTGCATAGTGGCCTTTTGCAGATGTGCCAGCAGAGAAAGGTGATACAACACTGATAACAATACCACATTCAAACAAGCTCTCACGAGAAAGGAATGCAATGATAGAACTCAGATCATTGAAGTTTTCTTGGGAATCAGACATTTGGTATGAGAGAATGATCTGAGAGAGGAGAGACAAGCAAAATATCTCCTGGTTTACATTTTGCAACAACAGGTGAGAAATTCAATATGATTGTTTACATTAAGCAGGTGGCAAATGCAAATGGTGACCTTTCATATTTCTTAGGAACAAAGCTGCACTTTTTAAAACAAAGAAAAACAATCAAGATGATTATATCATAGCATCTCCACGCATATTAACAAGAAGGAGCGAGCTAACAGCCTACCACAATGCTCTTCACAAAATTAACCATCTATTTGCCCAATAGGCTACAACATATTTAGGGTATGCAGTCAATACAAACACATTACTTCACAACCAAGAACAATGATAACGGACTAATCCATACCACAGCTATTAACATGACTCTCAAAAATACATCCCAACAGTTAACTGTCCTAAAATAAAAGGACAGCAAAATATTAACAAAGCCCACAGCTAGTTTATCAAAACATTTCAATCTAAAGCACTTAACCAAACTCAACCGTAGCAGATAACAATACCATTCATAGGGAAAAATAAAAAATTCCCAATCCCTTCCACGAATTTGACATAACCCTTTATCCAACGGAGTTATTTGAAAGAGGGTACACAAATTACTTTTAACTTCAAAAATTCCAACCTCGACTTATCTACTAGAGCCGTTAGCACATCAAGCAATCCACAGCAACTCATCCAGGAGGTTCTTTCAGCCGCTCGTGGAGCAGAAACAAGGAGAGGCTGCATGTCAATTCAATTTTTCAGTGCACATAAACATCAATTATGACGAATTGATTTCTACCAAGTAAGGATAGGGGCAATACCTGGTTTTCAGAAGAGTCAGGAATTTTGGAATCTTATATTTTCTGCAGCATATAGTTTCAGCAATTGGAGCATCCGATGTGGGTAAAACCTTAGCCTCGTTTACATTTGCTATAGATCCCACCTAGTTGAAGGTGCCTCAACATTATCCTTGATATGGGAAAAACTTTGTCCTCACTTCTCTTTGATTTTCAATTTCCTTCAACCTAGTTTCTACCACATCAGAAGCCAAAGAACCAACAGGATCACTTTGTGCAACAGGAATCACCTCCTCAGTCACAGATACCAGAGGCTTAACGGAATCAACAGAACTAACTGCATCCACAACTGACTTACCAGCCTCCTCAACGATGCCTTCAGTAACCTGAACATTCTTCCTGAAGAGACTCAAAGGTTATTCTCTCATTACGTGAAATTGTTCTGAAATGAACCATAGGCAGACTCAACTGGCTTATCTCCATTACGTGACATTGCTTCTGAAACTGAACCATAGGCAGCCTCCTCGGTTTTCTCTCAACCACTTGAGACTCATCATCTGAAACTACTAATGCTAGAGCTCCCATCATTTGATCCTTTGGCTTAATGTCAATAATTTGGCTCTCCGAGTCCTCCTCAGATTTCAATTCCCTTCCGTTTTAATAGCACCTCATCTTGGATTTCGACTTTCTCGGCATGTTCAACATCTCCAGTAACTTCGTCCATGGACTTGTTCTCAGAGGCAAATGATCGAACAGATGACGGATCCCTCTTCTCCAATTCTTCTATATCCTCTTTAAAAGGATGTGGCTGGTCATGATGTCCTGAGATGCAGGGGAATTAACCTCACCACCATCGCTCTCCCTCATCTGGCTTTGGGATCATTATTGCTAGAACCATTTTGATTCAATTCAATTCAATAACAATAATGTCAATCAAATACCAACCACCCAATAAATAATCAAAACACACTCCCTAAACCAATTTCCCAAACAGTATCCAATAGAAAAAGAATATTATATATATCGACAAAAGACTTCGAAACAAACTTAATTCATACTCATCAGACTATCTGGCAAACAAAAGAAAAGCAAAACCCATCAACCCACCAGAAAAGAACACAAAAGTAAATGATGCTGTCCAGATAAACAAGAAAAATTAATCAATACCCCCAAATCCAAATGATAAAATAAGAAAGAAAAAGTGGACTAAAATGATTGAGTGACAGATTGTCTGTGGGGCTAAGTACTTAAAAAAGTGAAAAAGTAAACAAAGAAAGAAAAAATACCTAAAGGGTTGCTGTTATTGTTGTTGTTAGGTGAAGAGCTCGTGTTGTTGTTGTTTATTGGTGGTGGTCTCTTGTCCCTTCTTTTTCTTAGCAGCAGCTTTTCTCCTCTTCGCACCTGACGGCATAATTAATTGATTCTAGGGGGTAACACACACACACAAACACACAACAAAACAAGAAAATAGAAATTAGAGAGGCGTCTGTTGTGTTTCAGTAGAAAAAGAGATCGTAAGAGCGTGGTTTGACTGGTTTAAAAGGGTAGAGAAATAGAAAGATTAGGATCTATTGAGATTTTCATAAGGCAAAGCAATATAGTACCAATCTCAAAATGAAATTATGGCGTTATTTGTGGAAGTGAGAGCGATTCGTAGATTCTCTCCCTGTGTGGTGTGGTGTGTGTATTTGTGTATTGTCTCTTCTCCCTAGACTCTACCTACGTTTTTTTGTTTGTCTCTCTCTATTTTCTTGACATCTGTATTCAAAACACTGGCTGTTATTTAACTTCATTTTTACGCCAAATTTTCATCTTTTATTTTGCAGTTATTTCTAAATTTATTATCATCTATTTACTTTTCTTTTTTTGTGATCGGGGCTAGTCGAGTTTATTTACGTGCATTTCAACTAATCTCATAAGTCGAGATTTTAGAACTAAGATAAGAGTTTTAATAGTTACCTTTATTAGCAATTAAAGAGGAATTCGAACTCAAGATTTATCAAACCACTCAACCATCTAATAATACTTAACTTTTTATATTATACATTTAGATTTAAATTTTAAGAAATTTTATGAAAATTCATTTAATTTGAAATATTTCTGATATAGTTTATGTATTTATTTCATTTATCATTATGAAATTGTTTAACAAGAAGGTAACTATTACCAAATAAATCTTATAAGAATATAGGAATTAATTGATATCAAATTTTCATGATTTTTATTACCAAATATATTATAATTTTATTTATAAATTAAGAAATTTAAAAGGAAACAAAAATTGAGAAATGAGAATGAGGATAGGGTGGGGCAAATATGGCCAAAAAATGATGCGGGTTAAGAGGGAAAGTGAGTGGTGTGAAATCAGGGAAGGTTAATTAATGTTTTTGTTTGATTTTTTCTAGATTGATTTGATTTTTTGTTATATGATTATTATTATCATTAATTGAAAATTTTACAACGCCGTCACGTGTGTCGGCATTCTTAATTTATTATTTTAATTCAGATTAAAAAAGAAAAAAAGAAAAAAAGGGACTGCAGTTGATAATAAATTAAATTAAAAATTTTAAAAGTTTCGAATGGGGATCTGGTTCTGGCCCATCTGATTGGTTGGAGGGATCTCATTTTGAAATTTAAGTCTTAAAGTGATTCAGTTTGAAAAGTACTTATTTATTATTTTATAAATCAAATTAAAATTATTTCAGAAACATTAGACCGTTATTAATATTATTTTTAAATTAAGTAATAATAATAGAGTAATGCTACATTTACACCACCTATTACACTATTTTCATTACACCATGATGTGGTATATCCCACATCCACACAAAATTTTAATTATTTTAAATTTTTAATATTATAATAAAATAATTATTAGTAAAATAGTGATGGTGTAATGAAAATGATGTAATGGGTGATATAAATATAGCATTACTCATAATAATAATAATAATCTTGTATTTGAATAATAATTTATAAAATATTGTAACTCTAGTAGTTTGTGTGATTATTATTATTTATTTTATAGAAATATAAGTCCATAATTCATCGATTGGTTGCAGCAAAGATATGGGGTCAAAATAGACATTAATGAATTTGTAGTAATTAATATCCACACCTAATATATGCCAACTATATTTATGGGGATTGAGTAAGGTGATCGGTTCCGGGTATCTTGCATTTTTTGAAGGAATCAAAACCAGATTTGGAACCGAAATCGACCGATTTCAGTTCTGGTTCTAGGTATCCAAGTTAATTTTAATTATCCCATACTTTTAAAAAATGACAAATACACCCCCCAAAAACTACCAATACACCCCCCAATCGTTTACAAAAATTACAATTCAATCTTGATTCTTACCTGGATACCTATACCTCGATTCTGGTTTAAGTTTCGGTTCTAATTCCTAATTCCAACACTACAGGATTTGGAACCAGACCCAAGAATTATGGGTTTTAATTTTCCAGAACCAGAATCGGACCCTAATGGGGTTAGTTCCGATTTCGGTTTTGGTTCTACCTTTTACCCATTCTTACCCCTAGGATAAGGTACTAAGAAATAAATAGGGAATTTTTTTTAATGGATTATTGGCCTGAGGTTTCAGTTTTTATCACTCACATCCCAAAGGTATGAAACTTATTGGCCTCAATTTGATAGAATTCTTTTGTCTAGTCTATTTCATTTACCCCCTATCAGATCAATTAATATAACACTCATCCATTTTGTTTTAAGAGTATTAAAAACACCTTTGTTTCATTTACCCCCTATAAGTCTATTTTACCCTTTCATGACTTAATAACTTAACAAATTTCTTAAATCTTTTACTTAATAAATATCCAAATCCACAAAGTAACCTTATAATTATATCATCCCATGGAAGGTTATGCATTTATATAACACATTTAAACAAACATTTAGTTAAAAATAAACACCAATTAAATTAAAAAAATATTTTTTGGTAAAATTAAGTATTTTCCTTAAAAAATAATTAAAACAATAAATAAATAATAAATTATGTCAAAACTCTACTATTTTAATGTTTTATAGAAACAATATGGTAGGAGGAATAAAAATATTTTTTATGTTAGTAAGTGATGGGAAGGAATAAAATAGACTTTCAATTTTAAAATTGAATGTATTGACTCATTGTTACTTATATTAAGCATGAGTCTCGGTTAGAAAAGTCCTGTGCATGTGAAAGCTTTCAAAAACTCGTTTTTGGGGATTTTCGTATTTGGGCCAAAATGTCATTTTCCAAACTTACGGGGTTAAAAAATTTACCAAGCTTTCATACTTCACAGTTTAACCCATCTGATCAATTGGATTGACATCTGAATTATGGGTTTTAAATATTGGGCTAAATTGTAATATATTTTCTTAAATTTGAAAACTTATATTTTATCCCATCCGGTCAACCGATTGGTCTTTTGGTTGGGTGTCCGAACTAAGCAAAGGCCATTCGATCCTTCAAAATGGAACCTGAACATATCTTTAAGGGTAGGGATGTTTTTTAAACTTTTGGAACAAAATGGATGGGTGCGATTTTAATCAATCTCATAGGAAGTGAAATAAAGGATTTATCAATTAAGGCCAATGAGGGTAGGTATCGGATAATTCTCCAAATGTGGAGGGAGATCAGGGTAATTATTCATACCTTTGGGGTGTGGGGAATAAAACTGAAACCTTATAATAACCCTTTTTAATTCATGGTTGAGAGATTTTGGAATTTGGGCAGGTGTAATCTAAAGGGCAAAAATGTAAATTTAGTTTGGATATTAAAAATGTCATGGGTTTGAAGTCAGTTTTTACATTAGCAACATTACCTGTAAAGGTATCCAAAAATGTGTTTAATTATTTTACTATTTTTTAAAAGTAAAATGATTATAACATAAATTTTAGAGTAATTTAATAACTTGAAAGTTGACATTTAAAAATAAATAATTCTAACTTTTCTTTTAAGTTCATTTGATTGAATTAAATCCATTGATCAATAATTTGTGTTATAATCATTTTACTTTTAAAGAATAGTAAAATTTGTGTTTACCATTCTTTAAATATCATTATAATAAAAAAATCTATTTTGTTGGGAATGTTGTTTGTGGGAAGGGCCTAGCTCCCTAACAAAACCATTTCTATTAAAACAAGATTGATAAAGTTATTTTCGAGACGAATATTGCAATAACACTATTTTTATTTGTCTCTCAATTTCATTCTAACGTGTTTAAATATGATAAAAAGATGACAAATTATAGATACATTTTCATTTTCTGTATTTTTTTGGCATAAATAGAGGATGAGAAACGAAAAGACACAGAGTTTTTAGCATTTCATAATTATGTGTAAATATAAGAACTTAAATACTTAAGATTATGTCTTTGATAAAGCTTGCATATATTCAAGTATAATTAATCACAAAATACTTTTTTAATAAAATATAATGACGATAATTGGAAGTAATATACACTTATTTTATTTTGAATAAAGTCGTTTTCGTTGAGAATGATTTTATGAAAATTTGGAATTATTATTTTTCATACATATATAGAGGTCTAGTGTAAATTTACTAGGGGTGTGCAAGATATCCGGGTAGAACCAGTATCGACGGGTACTCGGGTTCCGATTTCGATTCCAAATTTGGTGGAACCAGTATTGTGTAGTTCCAGTTCCACCACTTCAAGAACCGGGAACCAAACCAAAATCGGGTTTCAGGTACTCGAGGTGGAACCGATTTGAGAACTGACAAGGGGATCGACTGACAACCAGAATACAACCAACACATACAAAAATCCAACAACAAGCAATTGAGATCAGAAAAACCAGTGGTGTGTGGTGGAAATAATGTCGCAAAAATGAATAATCGGAAAACCCAACAAGAGATGAATGTCGATCGACAAGCTGAGGATGCTGATGGTGGTGACAAAGATGATTGTCAACGTTAAAATCGATCAGCATTGTCACGGCCCCATCTTACTGGAGACACGGCTAGGTGGAGTTCACAAAGCACCAACCCACTCTTCGTGACTCTAAGGAATATCTCCCCCTCCTTAAGGGATTTCTTTCGCCTCCCCCATGGCTCGAACCCATGTCTAAGGGGCTATAGGCAAATGGAAAGCACCATGAGTACCATCAGGCTAGCTAGCCTGATGGTACTCATGGTGCAAACCAAACAGTCGCACGAACCTTACAAGTGATAGAAAGTGATCAACGAGCTGGGGATGATGATGGTATGAGCAGTTTTGTAAAGTAGGTAATAGGGATGTTGATGGTTGTGACAAAGTTGATTGTTGACATTGAAATTGATTGGCATCTATCCAGAAAACCGAATAATCACACGAACCCAACATGGATGGTGGTTGGCGATTAACTGGTGCACTCGGGTGGAGAAGCAAGGGGTTTTGGTGAGGAAGATAATGAGACGTTGATGGTGATGTTGGGGTGGTCCAACAATGCTGAAATTAGATCAAATCGGACTAAGAACAACAGTCGCGAAGATGGAGAGACAAATTTTTGAGAGTTGGGCACCCAGAACCGAAACTTGTATTTCAGGTTCTGATTCCAAATCCTAAGAATCAATTGGTTTCGATTCCATGAGATTTTGGCGGGTACTTAGACCCACCCACCCCTAAAATTTACAATATTTATCCTTTTAAACGTGTTATCTGTGTTTTTATCTAATTATTGTTGGGTCCTCTTCCTGTTAAAGGGACAAATTCAAAATATTAATAAAATGTTAAAAGATAAATATTACCCCACCATTTAAAGACCTTAACAATTTATTATTAAAAGTTATTTACTTAAATTATAAGATAATAATCCTTATTTACTATTTCAAACTTTAATAACATTATAAAGACGTGTTAATATAACCATCATTATACGATATAGAATTAATTTGTTCTTATAGATGCATCTGGAATTAGCAAAAATATGAAGGGTAATATAGATGCTCAAAAGTCATAAATATTTAATCTTAAGATAATACAATAATTAAAGCATTTAATGATCTGATTTAAATGTGACAACATTCAAGCATCTTCATAATTACATGAAAAAAGCAAAAGTCACAAATGGTTTCATTTCAAAGTTTGAAAGTTAGATTGACGGTTGGTAATGCATTTTGACAAATACCCTAAAATTCGCATTAATTTATTTATAATGCCTCAAAGGCGATTAATTAACCCATAAATAATATATTAATTATGGGTCATGTTTGTAATATATTACATAGGATATTATACGAATTCTTAAATAATCATCATATTTTTTATAATTAAATAATTGTAAAGAAAAATTTAAATTTAGTTATTTTTTAATTATTTTCATAACATTAATACACTTAAAGAAAAAAAAATAAATCCCTAGGTGGTCGAGTGATTCGATAGAGACTCTTGGACGTATTATTCAAGAGATTCTGAGTTTGAGTCTTTTCTCAGTTGCTAATAGGGGTGATCATTAGAGCTCTTACTTGATCCGTAGTTACAGGGTCATGAGAGATTAGTTGAGGTGGACGTAAGCTGACCGGACACCTTGGACATAAAAAAAAGAAAAAAAAGAAAAAAGAAAAAAATGAAGATGGGCCAGGTGGCAAAAGATGGGGCAGGCCCATTTCGGATCCAATTTCTCAAATGGGTCTACAGGCTCATGGGTCTTAAATCCATATGAGCAAAATAAACTGGAAACATAATCGAATAAGAAACAGGAAATTTTTTGCTATGACAAAATCCAAATCCCCAGCTTACAAGAAGTGGAGAATCTTCATTTGGAGTTTACATATACAAAGGAGTTTCATTATTCTTACTCGGCGGTCAGATCTGATTCGTTTTTGCAATTTATCAAATGGATGCTTTGAGGAGACAAGCCAGCAAGCTCAAAGAGCAAGTTGCCAAGCAACAACAGGTGACGTATCTTCTCATTTATGTTCTG